CTTTTAAAAGTCAAATGTCAGTATTAAACTCTTCACAGATGGTCTAAAGGGACGTTATTGATTGTTCCACTCTGCAGCCAAGGAACTATCTGAGATTCCCACCTTAATTTAAAGATTAAATATGGATGTCTTAATGGATTAAAAAGAGCATCCTATGAAACATGTATGTACTTTAGTATAAAATATTTGCAACAGCATCTACACTGAAAGGGAAAGATCTTGTGCCTTGGGTAAGCACAGTGAGTTGAAACAGAGGGGCTATAAAAATATTTTCTTCACCTTAATGATAGAAGTATTTAAATTCTCACATGATAAAATTAACTGGAGTTTGGAATTTTATGTTAGACATCAGTGGAATAAAAGCTCTTTCAGAGAGGTCATCCGTCTGGAACCTCTGGGTAAATAAGCTGCAAGAAGTATTTCTGAACTTGAGTGTTACTTCAACAAGAACTTTTCATCATATCGGAGCTTGCTGCCTCAAAGAGCAATATGGGGAGTTGCCCTTTCTAGCGTATAAAGGAAAGATGTCTTTGGGCTGGTCAGTCACGAGTCCCCTCTGCCACCTGGCTGCCTTGCTCCAGGTTTCCTCCTGCTTGTCGCTGCAACCGACTCATGGTCTGGCTCAGGGAGACGTTTGAGGTAGCAGGAGAAGGACCAGGGGAGGGAAATAAGCATCGTGTGGACCCCGCTGAGAGCTGACTATTGATACAGATTGTGCAGGAATATGAGGAGAGGCATCTTTGTAATAATATATTACAGCCCTGTCTTCATCCAAAGGCGTGTGAATGCAACAGAGGTTCAGTTAATACTTTCCTCACTCGCTTTCCATGTGAAGTATGGACCTGCTGAATGAACCCTTATTAAAACCTCGCAGTTTAATCGTTTGTTCTAGTACCAAATAATCACCTTCCCACACTTCAGACACCCTTTTAGTCAATGTCCTCATCCCGAAAATGTCCAACTCTTAATTTCTTCTTCAGACGCCATTTCACCCATGGACTGGATTAGCATCTCCAAATGTGCTCTTTCCACAAGGTAACTTGGGCACGACTGATGAATGAGTGAAAACTGTCGTTCCCAGCACATTCCCAGTTACATGTGACATATCCCTTTTGAATAGTGAATCTTGCAGTGAAACATATTCCAGCTAGAAATGGAGAGGTAGTGGCGTAGCTACCGGATAACAGAGGCGCCAGCAGCTGTGCTGGGGACTCCACAGGTATTTGGGGGATTCTACAAGAAGATGTTGCTGGTTTAGGGGAGTCAAAAACGCCGCGTGAATGTCGTGAAACCACTTCAAAACCCAAGCTGTGCCTGCCAGGAGTAAAGCAGAAAGTGCATGATGGTGTGCTGAGCATCTTGTCAAGTTGAGCTGGATGAAACCAAGAGAGATGCCCCAGCTCTAGCAAGCAGAGTTGTACAGGTAGAGATTTTTAGGCTTTCATATAAAAAAAAAAAAAAAACCATCCATTTACAGAGTGGCTGAATTCTACTTTAAATTCTGAAAAACACTCAGCAAGCCTTTTGCAGACCTCTCGCCAGAGAGTAGTCATTTATTGAATTTACAAGGTTTATCAGGTATTTTTTTCAGTCTAAAACCAAAATCTTTCATGAAGGGCCTGGGGGCAGTGCAGAGGACAGCGATTTATCACCAACGGATAATCAAATTGTGTCTATCAAGCAATGTATGAACGACTAATTTATCTACTAATAACAAGGAAAGCACCGAAGAAAATGTTCATAACAGCACATACATCAACTTATCACCCTTAAACTGATGTGAAAATACCAGAGGATCTAATTTCTACTTCCACTAGACCCAGCCTGCTGCTACAGAGGACTCATGGCTAACTTCAGCCTCCCGAAAGCTCTCTAAGGAGAAACAGCCATAGTCCTGGAGAAGGCCATTTGTAGAGCAAGAAAATCTCCTGACCTGGGGAAGAACTATCAATCCATAATGGTGCTTGAAATCACCCTCACGTGGGCAGATGTTCAAAACCAGCGCCGAGGGGTCATTATCGGCCCTCCCAGATAAGCACAGGACCTCTGCTAGACGTTGGAAAACATGAATGCTCATTCAAAATGGGACACAAAGCTGAATATCCGTAGTTTACCCAGTCGGTCTGTGATAACAAAGGAAGGAAACCAAGAGTGTCACCAGTGGCAAAGGAGAGCTAGAATGGAATATTCAAATCAAAGAGGTGATAAGACTTCAGGGTGGAAAAATACTGGAAAAAATCCCACCGAGGACAATATTGGGGGGGAAAAAAGATAAAACAAATGGAGTGATGAGATTGAATTCATGAATATGTTTGACCTCTCTTTTGAAATAGTGTGTGGTCTTTGTTAGAGCTCGGTGTAGGGTTTCAGCGCTCAGCTGAGGAATGAGCATGTTGGAGATACTGTATTTAGCCGGGCTTTGGGGCTCGTCCCACTGCAAGGTTCCTATCATCTTCTGTTGGTTCTGCTGATTTCTCATCCAGAAGTAAAACTCCAATTAGTTTTCGGAAATGGCTTAAAATATAATTTTAAAATTCTCAAGTTATCAAAGAAAAAAGTAAAAATTTATGAGCCCACTTTGGTTGATTGAAGTAAGAGGACGACTGGGTCCTTTGCAGGCTGCGAAATTATATTGGTTCTCCTCAACGAAAGCACCTGTGAGAGGTGTGTGAGCAACTGAAAGAAAACGAGGCACTTGTGAAATGTGGAGTTCTTTAGCTCATATTCTCATTCCGCAAATCCTGGGTGAAAAAAAAAAATAAAAATCTCCTGCTGATAGAGGGGTGCCAGATTAATTCCTGATGCAGTTCTGAAATCCGAGGGCTGCTCTACATGTGGACACTTTGCATCGGGCGCAGTTCAGCTGCAGATACTTTTATCCAGAGTAAAACTGCCTCTACTTCAGCTCGGTTTAATATATTTTGAATACAGTCTCATTCAGAACAAGCACACCCGCAAGTTTATGCCAAATTGGTTAATTTTAATTGTATTTTACTTGGGTTAAGTTTTTGACGAGCCTCAAGTTACATGAGGAGTTACACGAGCATTCAGAAGGCCGTGAAGGGGAAGCGCCTCGGAGCCAGCAGCTTTCCCATCAGCTTTTGAAATGAATACTTTAATAGTGGGGATTTCAGTGTTTTGATCATCTCTTTCCTATGACAGCGAATTACTTTGAAAACCCTGATGGCTTGCTGCGCGGCAGAGCCTGCCACTCACAGCCTGAGTGCAATTTAGAAACCACCCCGCTAACGAACCCCTGATGAATGCCAGTGGAAAATGTTTGACCCCCCCAGAACTGCTCTGTTTTTTCTCTCTGCTCTTTTCCTCTTCTCTCTTTTTATTGTTGCTAATTTCCAGCAAACTTAGTTTCTTTTACAGAAAGGATTTTTTTTTTTTTCTTTTCCCTCCTAAGAGGAAGGAGCTGCCAGTGCCAACACGCTGCATTTGGGCACGTCCTTAACTCAGCCCTTTGGGGAAACGCTCCTTGTCACTGAACAGCAGGAAAGGGGCGGCACAAACTGATCCTCCAGCTCTCTGCAAGACAAATTTCGGTGTTCGGCTGGCTGGATTTTCTAACGCAAGCAAGGAAACCTCAGGCCAGCCTACTCCCAGATTTCTGCAGGCTTGGTGATATCATGCAGGAACGAGGAGGTGATTCATCACCAGTTGCACAGCAAAAGTCACTTTTTGTAGCCCCTCTCGGCAGAGACACGCGCTCGTGTGGAGCAAAGAGTACGGGGGGAAGCTCTGCAGGGTCCCAGCTGTGCTGTGTTGCTCCTCTGTAGGCACCTTTCTAGCAGAGCAAACAAAGGTTATTGTGTTTGAGGCTCATAACACGGTGTGCTCACTGCATTCACGTTGCTAAACCACGAGGCTGCGGCGTAGCTTGGGAGGGGGTTTAAAAGTCTCAGCTCTTCACCCCCTTGTCCCAGAGCAAAGCCGCCTGGATCACACGGGCACGGCGAGGGGACGGTCACACAAACCTTCCCGTGTCACAGGCAAACACATACAGAAAGACTTCACGGCAAATAGCACGTAAATCACACTCACAGGGACGGGGCAGCCAGAAGGTGCGTGATGAAGCTGGACGTCTCAAACAATTCTTCCTTTGTTAGGTCGTTTTCTGAAGTGGGTTATTCCAGCCCAGCCCTTTCCAGGAACAGAGGGAGCTTTACAGGCGTTTTGAGATTTGCTCTCAGCTTTTGGGGAAGACGCTGACCACCCCTCCCACCCCCAAGCCCCCCCCGGCAC